TCGAAATTTTTTCAAGGGAGAGGGTATGATGCGGACATCTAAACCACACCATACCGGGAGAATACCAAACCGGTACACGTACCAATCCAGTCAATACAAAACATTTTGGAGAAATCTTGCTCAAATGGAGTTCCGATCAACCAATTCAATTGGAGTTCAATTTTTATCAGCAAACCAAAAATTCTAAAGAGGTTTATCAAGAGAAATCAGACCTGGTTCGAGCTGGTTTAAGAGCTTACCAAAGAGGTCCAAAACCGGATGTAATTAAAAAATCATCTACCAAACTTATGCTCAGCTGAAGGCTGAAGCCACGACTTGTAGACCATCTAGGACCATCAAAGGGTTCCCTTTTGACCCATGACGTCCACATTCATCCCAACAAGCTAAAGTCCCAAAATAACAAGTTGAATATACATTTGCCTTATTTAGGAGAGTTCACACCTATGTCCACATTCAACCGCTCTTTTATCAATTTTGATGCGTTTTAGAGACCTTCCACGTGCATAAGATCTTCCAAAGGCGCACTTTTACCTCCCAAGGTTTTCTAGATATAAAGAGTCTTCAAACTTTTCATTTTCAACCAATATTTACTAATCAATTCTAACGGTTCTTTACGCTAATTTTTGCGATTTCTTTTGTCATTTTAGAGTCTTCATCACTGTTTTCTATTGAGCTTATAAAAGTTCCGCTCTTATTTCATTGTAAATCACGCTTGATCATCAATTTAATAAAGCATATAGTTTTCTCTTCAAAGACCGAATGTCTTTGATTTGTTTCCTTTTATTTTGAGTTTAGCGTGAGACACTCTTCTCTTGTATAGCCACGAATTAGTTTGTTTGTGTGATTCAAACAATCAGTTTCGTCCATTTGACTGAGTGAGTCAATCACTTCCCCTTTCACCTCTCATCTCTACCTTTGTTCTATTTCTGCTTGCCTTAAGTTTAGAATCTTTTGATCATTAAGTAATCTAAAATTAGAGTAATTCCAATTTTGTATCACATTTTATATTAAAAGTTAATTTAATCCGAGAAATTATAGTGAATGTGTCTATACGTCATTTTGTAGGTTTATCCCTCCCGACCGTGATCTGAATTAGAAGCCAGACTACTAATCACTTCTTTAAAGGGACATGACGTTCACTACTAGTCCATAACACTTAGTTGGAAATCACGTTTGTTTATTCTCTCTGTACATGATTTCATTGATAGACATGTCCCTATTAAATTTGGGTT